AGTTGGTCTCTTAATGAATAGATGCCCTTTACCATGTGCATGGCATTTCTCTGAATTATTCCTGGAGCAAAATTACTGCCAACAAGTTAAAACACCTCTCTGATACATACATGCAGGCAAACAATCCCAATGTCGTTCCTCGGACAGGACTCCTACTGATAGGGCAACACTGTGTTTGGGAGCCAGGTGCAGTCCTTACCTGATTCATGGTGACTTTTTGAGTGCAGGGGTTTTTTTTTCCTCTCTCACCTTATCTCCCCCACACAGCTCCAGGCTGCACATTTTGCAATTTTCAGGCACTTCTCAGAGAGCAGGCAACACCTGAAAGGAAATTTATCAGCACTTTGGAAACTGTTCAAGCAGCAAATACACAATGTTCACCGTTAACCCACTGAGGATTTAAAAAACCTGGCCCTATATGGACTTGTTAGCATCAAAGCTGCAAATGCAATCAAACTTTCTCCTAAATGTTTACCACAATTTAAAATTGTACATTTCATCAGTGTAATAAAGCTCAAGTGGGCCTTGTAAAATTACAGACATGCATCATTAATATTGGATGCTTGTGATAAACTGCTTGGTCTTTTGAGATTTTTCTAAATGGAGCATGCTTACCATTTTCACGCTTGTTTACAAATGCCATCATGTAATTACATCCCAACCCCTCTTTTTTCTATTTTAGGTCAGTGTGGAGGATCTGTGCCCTCTGGACTGTGTCTTGCAAGCAACAGACAGCAGTCAGATGGAGGTGCAGCATTCCCAGTGCCCAGAGTCTCCCGTCTCCCCTTTGCAACAAGAGGCCGTCACACCAGAACCGCAGGACACATCAAGAGAAAGTATAGAGGAGGAAGAAGGGGAATGTGATTCGTCTGGTCTCGCGGTGGAGGACACCAGTGTGCTGACAAACGGGGATCTCTCAGAGGACGAAGAGGAGGTGCTTTCAGACAACAAAAGCCTCCTGCCTTCCTCTGTGCTGGACCAGGCAAGTGTAATCGCCGAGCGCTTCATCAGCAGCCTGTCCAGACGAAGCAGTCTGGTTTCAGAGGACCTGGGTCCCCTTGCCTGCCCCTCACCCTCGATAGAAAACGACGTCTTCAAAAGCCCCTCAGCCTGCATGGACCTGGAGAAGCAGACTCAAATGTTGGACAGCTCTACTCCAGAGCCACAGGTGAGCTCCGAGGCTGATCTGTCCACACCTGAACATGAACCAGTACCAGAACTGGAGTGCAGGTCCACTCTCTCCAAACAAGACCGCCTCCTCATCCACAAGATTAAAAGATATTATGAGCATGCTGAGCATGAAGATATTAACTTCAGCATCAAGCGCAGGGAAAGCCTCTCCTATATCCCCGCGGGTCTGGTTCGTCATCTGAGCCGACAGCTCAACACTACTCCCCAGGAACAGGCTGTCCCAGTTCACAGGAAGGGACTCTGTCGAAACCGTCCAACTTCCTGGTCCGTCTTTGACCTTCCCGGCCTAGAAAAGAGGAAAAACACAGACAGAAATCAAAAAAAGGAACCACAGCAACCAGAAGAGCCAAAAGCTAGATCTCAGAGCATCACAGACTCCTCCACTACAGAAGAAGAGTTCAGATCTTCATCAGACATGCTCAAGGTTTGGCAAAACCTTGAAACAAAGGAGGAGGGCCAGACAGTTCAGCAGATAGAAGATGAGAAACATAATGACTCAGAATTGGAAGCAACACAGAAAATCATCTCAAACACTTTTGCCGTTGAAACCAGTAAGCAACCGCTACAGATTTTAGAAGAGAATGAAATAAGCACCACTTCAGAGGGCTCTTTGATATCACCTCCCACCACAACTGTTCCAGCAGTGGAGGGGGGGTCCTGTCAGGACTCTAAGGCCCTAATAACTGAGGAAAAGGGCCAGTTAAACCAAGACCACCTACCCCAAATAATTAGCTTAAGAAACGGTACGGAGGAAGACCAGATCCTACAGGACATGGGAAAGATGAAAAACAAGGTGTTCCAGCTGGCTCGTCAGTACAGTCAGCGCATAAAGAATAACAGGCCGATGATCTGGCAGAGGAACCGAGAACAACAACAAGGCTTAAAGAGTATGCCTGCTGTCTATGAGGAGAAGATGCAATCAGTGAAAAAGGGTAAATAGGATGCAAATGGTCACCATATTGCTTGCTTTTGCGGTAATGTATTTTAAGCTTGTAAGTTGTTTCATGTTTTTTTTTTTTTATGTCCGCCTGTTTTCTGTGTGCATATGCAGGTCAACTCAGCATTAGGTTGCCATTGAACACTTGCAATCAGGCGGTCATCCATGAAGAGCGTTCCCCAAGCCCAGTCAAGACCCCCACTTCTGGAACCGGCTGCCAGAGCACTCTGACCGGACCACAGAGCCCACAGTCAGACACTTTCCACTGGCCTGACGTCCAGGAGCTGCGCACCAAATACACAAAGACCTCCCACTCCAAAGTAACACGCAGCTGCACTGTGCCAAACGGGATGCTGGAGTTCTGTACAAACGGGTGTAACAGCTGCTCACATAAGTACAGTAGCTCCTCTGACCTCCACAAAACTCTGACAGACTGTTCAAGGATACAGCCTGAATCTGAAAGCAGGGAAGGGGGTCCTGTTGTAGAGGACTGGCCACAGACTCAGTCCAAGTCCCAGCCACAGCTCCAGCCCCTGCTGTGCAGGTGGAGCTCTTTGGACCACATGATACCCCTGCATGACTTACAGAACCTTCAAAAACCTGCAAGCACCTTCTTTAAAAGCAGCCAGGTGTCTCTGATTACACCTGGAGAGACCGACAGCCTGCTCCACGAAGACTCAGACTGTTCCACAAAGTCTTCTGCGCTGGCTGCAATGAAGATAACAGACAGTAATCTAGTGAAAAGCTTACGGGAGAAGTTTCAGAGTTTAAGCACAGGCTCGTGAACTTTGGAAATATGTACATTTTTATAATCAGAGACTATCACATGGAAACATTATCTGCCAGTAACCCAGTGCTTCCAATTGTCTTGTTTCCCACAACTTGTTATCTGCACATTGTTGAGCACAGTGGTGATGATGTTTGTACCCGTGTAAACTAAAAGGGATGTGATTGGTCACTGGGTGGGGGGCGTCACTTCTTAAAAAAGATGTATTGCAATATTTGTACATTTGGAATTGTTCTGAACTGTTAAAGTGTGTATATAGTTCACTAAAACACTTTTTATCATTTAACAATTTACTGTACGCTGAAGTTTCAGGGAGAAGCAAGAGGAAGCTTAAGTCATTGTGACTGCACCAAAGAGGGTTTTCTTTTAACATTTGTTGACTTTGAACACACGTGATCACAGCTGTAACTTGCTTCCACGTCTACTGTAGCTGCTTTTGAATTTGTTTTCACATATTGTATCACTGGAGCTTTATTTGTCTCAAGTTGTATATTTGCTTCAACATTATTTATAAAAGAAAAACTGTATATTTGACAGATTAGCCTCATGTAAATACTGAGCAGAAGCAGCCGTCTTTAGTTTTCCATTACAGACAATAAATGGTTTCATACTTGAAGTTTCCCATATTTTCAATAAAAGAAGAAGTGTTTAAGTTTCCACGTACTTCCCTTCTTTGCCCCGCCGTGCATTTCAAAGGAAATACTCGTCTTTTCTGTCTAAAGTGAGTCGATCTAGTAATGGCATAATTTTCTAAGACTGACTCGTTGAAATAAATGGTTTCATATTTATATCAGACTGAGAGAGAGGTTGTCTTTTATTAGAAGCTCATAAAGAAGATCAAATGAGCATCAACACTGTGATGTTACCATGTTTGACACCAACAGAATGTCTGTATCTTATTAATATTTCTATAGTATGAAGAGGATCCAGCATTTCACTAAACCAAGGAGAAACAAAATAAAGTTATTGCACATGTGACTAAAAGTAAAACATATCTAATCATGGGACTGAATTATTAAATGAATCCTAACGTTCTGATAATTGCCTGTGACTTCTAAAACAACTGTTTGTGTTTTATTCTCTTAAACCTTCATTCATTTTATTTAAGAGATCAATTGCAAAAGTAGTACCGATTACTACATGAAATATTTCCTTATCACATTGTTTTATGAACTATAAACTAACACATTTCAATTGAAAACTTTGCTTAATTTTTTGTATCATTTTAAAAAGGACAGACATTAGTGATTCCCCGTGGAGAACTTGTGGTGCTTCTGGCGTTTAAGGAAAGCTATAAGTAGCTATTTTCTAAATACTTTAAAATATTTTTGTCTGATGAATTTAGTGCTTTCTGTGACAGATTACATCTTGTCTAACTGCGGTTCTTTCCCTCTGCATTCATAAGTATTGTTTTCTAAGAATTAAAAAAAAAAAACTTCCAGCATGCTGTATATTTTAAGAATCTAATTTGTGTCTTAATGTGAATATTTGGAAAATGTATAAAAGGGATGTTTTTGTAGCATGGTGAAAATCCTCTGTCTGACAGCTCCCCCATGGCACCAGTGACAGGTATTAATAATAATCATTCTTGGACTGATCAATCTTGTAGCTGGTGGTTATTTTCTTTTGTTGGTCTAAAAAGGCATCGTTATTATTTTGAGTCTGTGTTCTGGCCAGTAAAAAAAAAAACAACTCCTCACAGCAGGTTTGCTTAACAATCAGGCAGTCATTATAAGACTGGCACGTCTGGCATTGCTTTTGTTTTTATTTATCTCCTTTTTTTTTTCTGTCTTTCTTAAATGTATTTTTTTTTCATGGAGATGACCCTCTCGCCCACATTAGTATGTGACCCAGGTTACCAAGCGCTCTTTCGCGTTGCTCGCGCGCTGTTCGCCTTGAAAATCTACGTCAAGTCACAGGAAGTCGCTATGCTGTCCTTCAACATAAAAGCTTTAAAGCCACTGAACGCCTCTTTCAATGTGCTCCGTGCTTGCAGTACCTTTATTTTGAACCAACGACCAGAACATGCACCCTGCCTGACTGCTTCGCCATTTGACAATAATCCTAACGCAGAACAGAGGACTTAATTCAAGACGCATTTGGAGTCGCGCACTTTGACCAGCAGCTCAGATCAGATCTGGCACAAATTCAGTGAACCGTCCTTTACCTGGATTCTGCAATTAATAAGAAAATAATAATACTTTTATAGTCTAGCATTAATATATGAAGAATGGGCTGCGCAATATCAGGTCTGGCTGCAAAAGCGGAGTTTGGAGAGAGAAACACAGATGCAGCTGCTTCTGCTGTTTGTCCCAGCGGGGATCAAATTCAGATGATCAAGGAGTCGTGGAAAGTTATCCGGGACGATATAGCTAAAGTTGGAATTATTATGTTCGTCAGGTAAGATGCTTTCACATCATCTGCACTTTTCCAGTTTGTCTTGGGTGACAAAATATCTTTCAATTAAACAGTTCATTCCTTTTTGGTAAGAATATCATGTTGACCATTTATTCCTATTGTGTTATTAGTTTGCATTGAGTGGCCTTTAGAGTGATTTGTTAAAATTTCATATTGATGTTTGTTAGCTATAAAACAGCAATAAGTCAGAAATGTGCGCACTTAATAGTCTAGGTTTGCAGCCAAAAGTAATCCTGGACACAAAATAGATCCGGATTGTTAATCATCTGCCGTTTAAGTTTCTCAGTTAAACCTGATCAGACTTTTCAAAGAAGCTCCTGTATTGTTTTCTGGCCTGTCGGCAATGCAAAGAGGTCTGCAGATCGTCTTCAGAGATCTTCTAGCATCCCCTCTCTCTTCTGATGCTTTCCATTGAGAGCTTGGAGCAGAGTTACCCTCCTCCTCCTCCTCCTCCTCCTCCTCCTCCTCCTCCTTCTCTTATCACTTCATATCACATCTTAACCACATTACATAATAGGCTTATTCTACACAGCTCCAGGTCTGCCATATAATTAAAGGGCATCATCCATCAGGAAAATAAATTTGATCAATTAGTATGATGAACTGTGTGCAGGGAAAATTGTTTGGCCTTTAGCAAAGAAATCAAACATATGCAGAGACCCTTTGTGATGCAGAGAGGCAGCTGGATGTACAGTATAGAGGCCAGCAGGCTCATGGCTACAAGCCAAATGAATGCATTGTGTCCCCTGGATGACCCCAACAGTTGAAGAGATTGACCATAACATGTTAGCCTGGAAATACACTGGCCTCTTGTCGGTCAGGGGCAACCAGCATGTCAGGGGTTGTATCTCATGACTGTACACTTATCATTACAGTAAAACAGCAAATGGAAATCATCTGATATCTGTAGTGGGTTTGCTTTGAATTGATCCTATTCTTTTAAAAGGGGAAGTTGCTCTGTCTGATATAGATTATTTGAATAACAGACTGTTGGTGCCAAAAATTGTCATGAATACAACCTCTGAATAATGTCAATTAAAATTCCAAATGCGCTATAGTGCTGCATTGATTGCATATGCATTGCATGATTGCATGTTCTGAATACAGTACACACAATGGAACAAAAACAGCTTTTTTTCCCTCATCAATATAACGTGATGCTATTCATAGTGAGAAGATAGGCTAAGTGAGTACTACAACTTTTAATATAATTAAAATACACTTTAAAAGTAATTTACCAAACAATGGGTTTTCACAATTATAAGAAAAGGCCGACATGAGATTAAAAAACTGTGAAATAGTCATGTGAAAATGTGGTTTCTAGTCAGTGTAATTTAAGCACTATCAAATGTAAAACATAAAGAGGCCTGGATTGACACTCACATGCTGTCTGTATAACAAGGGCTCTGAGTCTACGTCAGTATATATTGCATTTCAATAGAGCTCTCTACTTGTCAAAGGGCACAGAGCCACTTTTGTTCCTGCAGCAGCCATTAGAGCTTGCATCACTTCTCCAACACCTCCATTCAATCATCTATCAGGGAGGACACATGTTATAGACAGCTAGTGCATTTATTCATGAGGACTCCATTCTATTTTCAGATGTACAAATACATGACTCAGACAGAACAATAACAAGAATAATTTATATACAGTATGTATTCCACCAAATAGCAGTAAAATAAGTTGAACTAATAGCTGCACTCGGGCAGAGACCCTGTCTGCATTGTGCATGTTCTTCACAGCATCCTCATAGCCTTTATATTCCTGCCGTCACCCTATTTTACCTTCTCATTTTCTTTCACTCACGTCATACTGGAAAAGCTGAATTACATTAGGCCTTGCATCTCATTGAGAGCACAATACAACCCACATCAAGAGGAGGGGACTGCACAGTCTGGTAGCAAGGCTAATTACAGGTACCTCAGATGGAGATTTGAGACTGCTTGATTGTATGACAACCTGCCTTTAAATCTCTGCTTAAAAATTAAATGGGTTTATGTTAGATCAGGAAGAGAAAACTTCTGGCCTGAGTAGTAGCTCGATGTAAACAAAAATTCATTATCCCTGCTCTGGCAGCACGAAGTGGGTTAATGATGGTATAGATTTCCTGGCTAGCAGACACATAGATCCACCATGGCCTGATTGCATCTGCAGGATGTAGATGATATGAAACAGAGTAAGAGCACAATCAGATCTCCATTTTCAGTCCAGAGTGGAGACAATAGCTGAAAGATGAGAGAGACGCATCTGGTCCAAATGCTGACGAGCTGAGGTTTATCTGCAGCAATGTGAATACAGGAGTGTCTGAGTGTTAAGTGTTAACTTGTTAAATGTCATCTCAATTTGGAAACTCAGGGTGTTTTGGTTTATTTTACTGTGAGAATGAATGACAGCAGGATCGCAGATTCTCACATGTGAAGAGCTGTACAGACATCACAGACCACGGTTTGACTATCACCACTTTGAAAAGACAAAGCATGGAAAGTCTCTGAATGTAGATATTTTTGAATCTGGTTGGTCCTCCGTCTCCACTCTTAAAGCCTTATAGATTCAATTTATCATTCAACTCTCTGATTCATTACAGGTTACGGGTACTTCACTCATCATTTAATATGGAAAGGTGGGATGGGCACCTCTCACAGTGAGATTTTTATTTATTCATAAAGCCTTAATTGGCTAAATGCTACCATATTACCTCTTTGTTAAGCCAGTCTCATATTCAACACTCCACATGCTCTGGTAATTGGCTGATGCTTGAACGCTTAATTTGGAAAAACTGCTCATAGCTTGTCTGCTGCATTCATATGGAACACTTAACAACCTAAATTAAAACTGCCTGTACTTGTTCCTATGGGTCAGTTTCAAACTATCATAACAAACGTATCTGCCTTTGGATGTGACTGTTATCATTATTTGTATTATTTTGTTTGTGAATAGTTCTGTTCTATTAATGAATGAAAAGATGAACATGTGTATTTCTTGCAAACAGGTTGTTTGAGACCCATCCTGAATGTAAGGATGTCTTCTTCCTGTTTCGAGACGTGGAGGACCTGGAGAGGTTACGGACCAGCCGGGAACTAAGAGCACACGGCTTACGGTCAGACACAACTCTGCACCTCATAACACATCATCAGCTTATCAGCAACATGAGGACAAAAGACGTCACCCGCTGGCATTGTTTACACAAAGGTCCAATCATAGCAGTCAATCATTTGCTTGTGTTCTATTATGACGACCTTAAACTAAAAAAAAAACTAAAAAACTAATGTCTGAACAGCTTTAAAAAATTGTCTATTTTTGAAAAGGTAGAAGAAATTCCTGGAAGGCTGTGCACAAAATTTCTATGCAAATATAACTTTAAACAGGTGTAAATTGTGCATTTTGCAGGGACTATTTTTCGCTACGGATAAATATACATTTGCTACCCTTGCTAAAATTTAAGATACAGAATTTTACCAATCACTGTCACTAATGTGTGAAACTGAATATTTTACAATTTAAGACAATGATTGTTGAATTGCTCAGTTGAAGTGATGACAGCAGCAGAGCCACTTTATGTTCAGGTAAAAGGTCTATACGTTTTGGGAATCACTCCTCTACTGAGAAGTGTGTTCAGCAGCAGGACCGAGTATGTATGACTAACTCAAAATAAATTACAATGACCACGTTATTGCAGATTTATAAACAGTGTGGCTTACTGATGTGATCATAAAATCACACAACAATAGAGCTACGTGGCACCAGTGGATATCAGAAAATACTTACACATTGTTTTTTCGGTCTCTTTCTTGTGGAAGAAATTGATGCTATTATTTTTCAGGTAATTAACTATTTTCCAAGCTTCTACTATCTTTTTTTTTAGGAACAACAATACATTGCACATAGTACAAGGCACAAATGCCATTGCTACACACCTCAGGCTGTCACATCATTATAATGGGCAGCAGACAGAGCTTGTAGCTGCAATCATGGCCTCTTGGGTGCTGTTTCCCATGGTGAATCAAGCCCCTCTGTGCTCCTCCATACCTGCAAAGTAGTTGATTCCTGTCTGAGGAGCTGAAGGTGCATAAAGATAGAATGGCATCACAGGAGTCATCCTTCACCACAACCCAGCACTCAGGGACCTTATGTATCACAGAGACACAGAGGAGAGAGTTTAACCAACCCTGACCTTTAGCTCAATAAGCATCTTCAAAACTGTCTCTCATGCACTCTGCAGTTTAGCGACATACCTGAACAAACTAAAGAAACTGATATTGTGTGTTACATTTTTTTTTTTTTTTTTTTACAGGAACAAAAATGTAATCATGGGGATAAGAATGAAGAATTGTGCAAATTTTATTGAATTGCAAAAAGTGTGAGCTTCTCTGGGCTTTCAACATATAGGAGTGTCATATTCCTTTAAAACACAGAGGTGTATCAGTTTATAGTTACCTGCTGCTAATTTGCATTTAACCGGTGGATCAATGGGGCTTGGTGGCCATCCTGAGTCTCCCCCTGCCCTCTTCTCTTTCAGGGTGATGTCTTTTATCGAGAAAAGTGTGGCCAGACTGGACCAGCTGGACAGACTGGAAGCTCTGGCTCTGGAGCTAGGAAAAAGCCATTATCATTACAACGCCCCTCCTAAGTACTACAGTGTAAGAACCCCAATGATTCAAGCAGAGTTGAACAAAGACTGTTTTGTGATGCTGCTTTTTCATAGAACAGTGTATTCTCATTCTTAATGATACTGTAGCTCTTTATCAGACTCACCATTAAACTGAGGCGTCCAAAATTAGAAGCTGAATGAAGTGTCACATTCTTATGACTGAAAAATGGAAACACCTTTTCTGTAACTAACAATAGAAACAAAGGAGTGATACATTCAGTGGATAATAGCCTAGTTACCAACTCACACATGTACGTCATGAAGTATCCCACACAACTGTTTTCCAGTACGTCGGAGCAGAATTCATCAGCGCCGTGCAGCCAATCCTGAAGGAGAAGTGGACAGCCGAGCTAGAGGAGGCATGGAAGGTGAGGGGAATCATTCGTATGGCCTTTGTGAGATAATCAGGGACTTTTGTAGCAAACCTTTCTGTGTAAAAAAAAAAAAAAAAAAGCCTGATGTTTGCAAAACCAGCAAGCAGCAGCGTTGTTTGTGCAGCTCACATCAGTGTCAGACATATTTTTTGATATGTCAAGATGGAAACCAAGAGTGACACAAGCCTGACTGATGTAAAACTTTCATGTCACGGAACCATTCATGAGCATATTGAGAAGATGGCACATGGCTCCATATCTCCAGAGAGATATGGTGCATGACACCAGTGTCACAGGATGTAGGAGCTTTAGACAATACGAAACACAGATCTAAAATAGTGTATATTCTTATGGAGAAATAATCTATTTGAATGCAATATGTTTGCTGCATCATCTCGTGTTTCAATGGTTATACAATTATCTTACTTAAAATTACATTATTTGATTATAAGGGCCCCATTCATCTTTGTCCAACTGCTTCCATTAATTTGCTGTACTGACCTCTAGTGGTGATATTTTGGAGTTTTTAATTTCTATCTATAATATCCCATCCTAACACGATTTGTTGATTTATTTTCAAAAAGAAAACAAATACATGTATATACTTAAATATAACATTTTAATTTAAAATATATCTAAATCATTGAACACATACAGTAGTTTCAAGATTTTAAACTGTACCAGTCAGTTTGATTGTTGTGCATCATCCATGTATGTATAGGACCCGAGCAGCGAATGGCAGCAGAGAACCCTCTTGAAGTGCAAGGAATTATCACATAATTATATTTTTGTGTGGTTCCAACAGTAGGTAGTAAAATCCCAGTTATTCTAATATTACATTTAGGTCTTCACTTCTTCTTACAGAGGTCAATGTTTCACTCAACCAAACACAAAATTGTAGTAACATGTGCACTGGTCTTTGTCCAAGAGCTAACTATTCAGTATCTTTATCGTCTGCCTTTTTCTTTCATATCAAATATCTATTATCATCACTTCACAGCACGATCTAACAGGAAACCTTCTGACTGTCCAATAGTTTTTGTTTCTTATTTTTTATGCAGAAGATTGGGAGAGCCGTTGTTTCTTTGTCCTAGATGATAGTAAAACAATTTTGTCCATGTCCATTAAGAATATTTATCATTTCCATCCAGACCATGTTCCAGTATGTGACGGGCCTCATGGGGCAGGGATACCAAGAGGAGAGCAGGCGGCAGCACCTCCTTACCCTCTCCCCAAAGGACAGGCCAGAGAAGAGCAACACGGCGCTATGAGACGCTTCTCCTCTCGACCAAATATCAAGACTGTTTTACCAGTTCTGCACAGAAATGTGTTTGTGTATATAGTGTATTTATTGTCTTCTTTTCTACATCACTCATCTTCACCACAGTCATTGTTTCCTACTGTATCATGATCAACAACAAAAGTTCAATGACTTTTAACAAAGCACTTTATTGCTGAACTTAAATTCCTCTGCAGGATTCAGGAGAATGACGAGACAATACAAAGGGTTGACAAAATATACTGGCTGCACTTAAACCTGCCTTGTGATGAAAAGAAATGACCTTATAGAATTACAGCCAATACTTTGTCTCTGTATTCATAACTCAAATATGCTTTTCAGTAAATCCACGACTTTGAACCTTTGTTGTTTGAATTTCTTCAGAATGTTTACAGTGTCCCCAGCATGCTGGTTCAAAAAAAAAGAGAAAAGATCATTTGTTTTAAAAAGAATAAGGACATTTATATCTCCTACATCAAGTAAGACTAATTGAAGAAAAATCTGATCTGTTTTGTCCCTTGTTAAAAAGCAGTTAAACAATCATTTTAATTATTTTTTTAAATTAAAAAAATACTCACAAAGAAGAAAAATTATAAATCCACTGACTGGAATATTGAACATTATTCTTGAGACCCCGTAAAAATGAAAATATGGCAGCACATCCAACAGGTCAGCTGTCAACATAACATAAAAAGGGACTCTTAACAATTAAATAGTATGAAAGGCAGCTAATGATTGGGCTCCATGGATTCGACTCCACCTGTTGATGACCTGGTTCTGAAGCAGAAGTGGTGAAGTTTCAATAAAGCTGACTTCTTCCTGTATGATTTATGAGAAACCCTCAGGTTTTTCTGTTCCAGATCACCGGTGCCAATGAGCAGCTGAGGATGAGACATAACCATGCAAACGATGGCGTGATATCAAAGCAGTCACCTGGTGGATGAACAGTGTTTGAGGCTTCAGGTGAACAGGAAGTAAGCTGGGGTGGGACAACAGACCAAGTAGAGGCCTTTCCCATCCCCTCAGATAGTACAGGTCAGTTTAGGTACCCAAGGTTATGTGTAAGAGTCTGTTTCTCATTGGGTGGCTTTGGTTTTCTTGCTTTTGCTTTTCTTATCTTTCTTCTTAAGTCCATCCATGTGAGCTCTGAGGAGATTGGAGTATGCCTTTAAAGAGAAGAGTGAGTTTTTGATTAGGTTTTAACAGCTCATTCACCATTGAAAAGAGTACTTGATACCAAGAGAAAACATTCAACAAGTCATTGAGAAGATCAACTAGACCTATTTAAGAACATCAAAAAGCTCAACCTACCATTTGAAACTTGATTACTTCTTTTGTGCTGACCTGGAATGCAAGAGATGCCATTTAAAACAAATAATATTAAACTCAAAATTAATTTAAAAAAAGAAAAGAAACACCCAGCTCACCACTGTGCTAATTTTCTTCTTGCCATCAGATGCTCTAATGAGACATTTGTTGTCTGCTGGTTCAAATGACTCGGTTTGACCCTTTCGAGGAACTGGCTTCACCCTCCCATCATCTTTAAAAAAAAAAAACCATTTCCAATCAAGTTATTCAACTATTAAAAAGGAAATACACACAAACTAAACTTTAATGATGATGACAGTTAAAACTCAGGTGAGATCTACTTACATTTTTTTAGTGTGATGACAACACTGCCAGATGCTCTGCACTTCTGAAAGAGCCGCGTGAGCTCTGTAAGGAACTAGAAAACAGAACATACAAAGTATTTACACCCTAACCTCTAATTTGTATCAGTCCTTTCTAAATCATCGATGTTTCTTCTTTCGTGTTACTTTTCAAAAAAGCTTTCCACTAATGCAATCAATCATCTGCCAGGTTATAAATAGCACCTGATACAGTTTAATATAACACACTTAAAGAAGAAAAGTAAGAAACACACATGATTGAATGCTTTAGTGTTCATCTTGGAGGATGTGTTTTCATGATACCAGAATTTTAACTTGGATATGATGATAGAAAAAAATCAAAAGATATAGATTCCTGTTTTATATCACAACAATAAAGGAGTACTAAACCCACAATTATCAGTAATTTCTTGTTTTAAGTTCACAGTGCTCCCTCTCCTTCCCTTAATGTTTTCTTTTGGTTAAAAACATAACTTGATGTTTTTTAAAAGCTTCATTAAGTTTGTTGCTGTTACAGGAACAAAGTAGACTATGTTACATTGTAAATAGTTCTGTAATGTTAATTAAAGAAACTCTACAGCATGTTTAAGTAAGTCAGCTTCATCAAGTTCTGCCGTCTAACAATAATATATATAATATAATAATATAATAATGACATATATATATATATATATATATAATATAACAATAATATATATAATACAATAATAATATATATAATATAATATAATAATAATACAGCTGAACCTCGACAGTAGTTCATGTATGTATCTGATACTCTTTTTGTAAAGCTACATGAGGCTTTACGTCAAAGAGACCACTTTATGGCTTTAACAAGCCAGTAATGTCGATGATATTTACTAACTTAAAACGAAACCCAGTGTTAGCTTCAACCTAATGTTAGCATGTTGGCTAATGAGTCAGTTTGACGACATGTTTAGAGTTCAGGCTATGAGCTAAGTTTACTGACAGCGGGAGTTTGTAGTTCAAAAATGAATAATGTAAAGCTGTTACGGTATTCACAATTTGAGCTTTGGTCTTACCGAGTCGTTTTCAAGTAGCACCATATTTCTGACTTCAATTGAACTGTAGCGTTAGCTCCCTGGTCACAAGCTAACTGCTGTAAAGCACACGTACTACAAGCTGGAGCCCCGCCCTGCGTCCTGTAGCCCGGAGAGAGACGGTTCATCACAGCGCCGCCTAGAGGCAGGGAGGAAAACTGAAAAGAACAAAACTCATTGTCCTGGACCATAGTCTGTAAATATTATCATTATATTATTTAATATTTTGATTTAATGTATTAATGTATTAATGTATTAATGTATTAATTTATTAATTTAAGAATTTATGAATTTATGAATTTATGAATTCATTTATATTATTGTCCTGGAACCGACCTGCCCTGGCAAGGTAAGAACCCTCATACGCAGTATGTATGTATGAATGTTTGTATGTATGTATGTATGTATGTAGGTATGTATGTATGTATGTATGTATGTGTGTATGTATGTGTGTACGTGTGCTATGTATGTATGGGACCTTTTGCAGTTTTCCCCCTCATTAAAAAAAAAAAATATGGTTGTTACTTATTCAACAATAAGGGGGCAGCAGTAGCTCAGTCTGTAGGGACATGGGTTGGGAACTGGAGGGTCGCCAGTTCAAGTCCTGGCACAGACCAAATATGGAAGTTAGTCTGGTAGCTGGAGAGGTGCCAGATTGCTTCCTGAGCACCGCCAAGGTGCCCTTGAGCAAGGCACCAAACCCCCTGCTCAGGAGCACCCGCCAGGGGCTGCTCCGTCACTCTGACATCTCTCCATTAGTGCATGTCCATAGTATCCTGTTTGTGCATGTGTGTGTATTTCAGCCTATGTGTGTGTTGCATGACTTACAGAGTGTAAAAACAGAATTTCCCCTCACAGGATCAATAAAAGTAAATCTTAATCATAATAATTAAACATTTATTCAAAATTCAATTCCTGGCTACAGGCCTGGGACAGATAGATAGATACATTTAAATAGTTCCGGACTAAATTGTCTATCACCAACATGCATTCAGAAATATTTTGGTTCACTGTTCTTTGTACACTTTATTTGTGCTGCTATAAGTAACAGTGGCCATGCGTGCTTTAACAATATATAAGCATCACAGCTTTACATGCAGTATGTACATCTCCAAACACAAGAACAAAATTAAAGTAATATATTGTTTTGGCACTTTATTACATCTTTCTATACTATAAAGTTCCACTTTACTTTTGACACAATACATGATAGTTACTTTCATTGGCTTCTTTAAAGATAGTTAAATAAAAACTAATTTAATATTAAACTCATCAAATAACAAATGAAATATTTTACATTGTGCAGAAAGATGAATGAAATTAGTTATAAACTCATCTATGTGACTATAAAAAAAACCTCTAAAATGCTTTTTTATTTCTTTACTGCTTACAAACATCAGGAGCATCGCAAACTTTGCACGCAGCTCAGTGTAAAATAAAGTGAGGCCTCAGTGAACACTTACAAACAGTGTTCAAATATAAAAGAGCCAAAACATAAGGAAATGTCTCAGTACGGTTTGGAAGGTTTCAGTTATATCACATTGTTTAAAGTAACTGTGCAACTAATGAACAAAATTGTATTCACATTGTTGTACTTTTACATTCTGTATTGAGCAACATTTTAAACAATGCACAAAGAGTGCTAACCATATCTAAAGTCACCAATTTTAACATTTCTGTTCAGCTAAATGATTATTGAAGTTAATTAAGTAACATGTAAGTATGATTTTTTTCTTTTTTCCTTTCACAAACTGACTATTTTTTAGAACAAGAGGCTGCGGTTAAAACTTCCAGTGAAACTCGTTTTTTATCTAAAATAAAATTTTCAGTTGCTTTCACCTCCATTATCACTGTGCAAAAAAAAAAAAAAATCACATCTATTGTTTGAATAAGACCTTGATAGTAAAATAAATGAATGTGTAACTTGTATAAAGGAGTTTTTGTTATCATGATAGTGCACAGTCTGGGTGGTGTTTCAAGTCAGCGAGGTGCACAGCAAACTCAGAGTTCCAGTCTCTGTCAAAGACGGCCCTGAGCTGGCTCTGCAGGGCCTTGGTCTTCCATACGGGGTGTGGAGCATGCTGGGAAATCACCAGACCCACTCCAGCTGTGGTCAGAAAGTAGTCCCCTGACCAGTTGGAGGTACCTGAGGAACAACATCACGTCATGCAGTGGATTATTAACCAATCGACACGCAGCAAAGTGCCTGCTCGACACATGAATGCACAATCATTTCTTTGAGTTGAAACTTAACAATGTAGAGAGTAATCTGTTGCTCACCGACATAGGCTACTTTATCAGTCACCATGTATTTATTGTGGTTAACTCGGGAATATGGGATATCAGACTGGTTTCCCACCGGTACGATGTAAACTTTCTGTTAAGAGAAATGCAAATTCAGTGGTGACAATAGAAGTTTGCACATAGAAGATAACATAGATTCTGTATAGTGTCTCACTATTTGGATGTTTATGTCATGTCGCGGGCTGTCCATTGAGGCTAGAGACGCAAGGAAGGGGAGCATGCTGGGATCAGAGTCTCTCCCACAGCTGACCAGCAACCGGATCTTAACCTTTTTCTCAAATGCAGCTGTCCTGATGGCATCATCGATGACGGGCCAGTATCTGTGCAGCATACAAGCATACAAAGGGAAGAATTCAAGAAAAAGAGACACATATTTCGGAGGGGGGGGGTTCTTATGTAGTTCATGTTCACCTCTGAGGCTTTTCAAAGCGTGTGGAGGGAAAATATTCCATGACGGCTACATCAACAAAGCGTTGGGCATCCGAGATGATGGAGAGAATAGCCTCAAGGTCCTGAGTCCTCGATGGAGGACAGAATGATGGAGGTGACCCCTGTGATGTGACATTAATAAACAACCCAAACATTAAATCCATAAAACCTGACATGCATGTGCTGGCAGTTAGAGTTTTTCCTGGCTTAACGCTGTGCAGGCACTTCTTTGTAAATAGAGACAACAGAATAACAGCATCCTGTAATAAGGAACTGAAAAGAACTCACTGCAAGGTAAACCAAGCTGAGACGTTATCCGTTTTCACCACCAGGGGGTGCTCTTTGTTGATGACAGTGTCATACTCTGGAGGCCAGGGCTGGGGCAGGGTGCTGTTGGACCGTCCCATCACCCAGTAGGACTGGAAAATCTTATGAAGGTCCTTTGCTAGGCTGGAGCAGTTGTAGATGACCACTCCCAGTTCCTTCACCTAAAGACAAAACTTAACTGTGAAACTGCCAGGCAATATTTTTACATTTAAAATAAGCCCTTACCTCTTAATATGATTCATTTCCCGGGTTCATTCTTATCTTCTATTATTGTTTTCCTAGCCTTCTTTGATGTGTTTTTTTTCTTGCTGAACATATTTCTGTCTGCATGTTTTCCCTCAATGTGTTTCACAATGATTTCAATGAATGAATGAATCTTCCATAGTAGTACATTTTTGGTGTTACCTGTGTGAGAGCCCTCCAGTCCATGTTTGCGCTTCCAATAAACACATGTTTTCTGTCAACAATCCAAAACTTGCTGTGCATGACGCCCCGTGTAAGACGTCCAAAGTTCACACTCCTCACCTGAACACCTTGATGTAACACAAATGAAGTCTGGAGTTTAGGGAAGTTGACGCAAACAATACATCATAAATCGGAACATAGAGTATTACTTTCTAACCTTTTTCTTTCAGTATCTTTAAATCTGTGGAGTTTGTTCGAACACTTGGAACACTGTACAGCAATCGCACAGAGACGTTTCTGGAGGGCAAATCTTCAAGATCTTTCAGGATCTGCCTTCCCTGCAGAGGACGGACAGATTTATAGACATTCTCAACAGATCAATAAGAGGCTTTGCATGTGACTTTGGGTTTTTCATTGACAACTCACAGGTTTGTCAGAAGAAGAGTTAACACTGATGTCATCCCCAGTTAGAGTCCAGTAGAAAGAGACCACATCCACTTGGTGTGTTGCCACCGAGATCAGATCTTTCCAGGCTTTTTCCAGAGGGATACCAAACGTAACATTGGCTTTATACTTCACATATTGAGGGATGCTCTCCACGAGGACCATGCTAAGAGATAAACAAAGACATCTGTTGATGGACGTCTTTGGAATATTCAGAAAATGATCATTCATGAAACCATTAGGGGAATCATTAAGTCTTAAGATGCAGATACTGGAGGTTTTGAGATCCTCCTCTTGAATAATTTGCTAAAGACTTCCCCACATCCCTCAAGCTGTAAATCAGGGGTGCCCAACCTTTTTTGAACTAAGATCTACTTTTAAAGTTACCAGTCTGCCGAGATCTACCAGTCCACATAGTGAGCCATAGCCTTTACCGACAGCCTACAAACGCATTTAATACTCACACAACAAACAGAAAATAATAAATGAGAGTTCTGTAAAAAATAATGCAATATCGACATACTTTTTTTTAAACTCTTATTTTAGGGTAGGCTACATTTTAGTATTAAGTTTGTATTTATATCACATATGTTTTCCCCTTAATTTAGTTTACAACAAACAACTTTAATCTGTGTGGAGATGTTCACAGACTACAGCAGGCTGCTGTGAGATGATTTTGCTTTTGTTAAATTAGCTGCAGACACGGTGAGAGTGAACGGAGTAAAGTCCAACCGACTGTTTGACCGGATCACGGTGTTCACGCCTCGGTCCGTACGGATCACGGATCAACTGTGTGCTGTAGCACTAAAAGTAAAAAGTAAAAAGGTTCGCGTGGTGGCTGGCGCTCCAGTGCAAGTGTGTGCGTGTGTGTGTGTGTGTGTGTGTGTGTGTGTGTGTGTGTGTGCGCGCGTTTGCGCTGTTTATTGGTGTGTCTCGTGCCCCGCGATGCTCACAGTCATGACAGCAGAGAGGAGCAGAGAAAAGTAGCTGCAGCTTCATCAAATGCGCTTAATACTCATAGCATAGTTTCTATATATGACTTTTTGGTAAAACATTTACCCCACCCGGTTTTACCTGCACGTCATTGCGCATGCCTGCACTCTCTCTTGCGCGCGCTCTCTCTCTCATGCACGCAGCAATTTCATGAATAAATGAAAAATTAAATACACACAGGTCGGAAGT